TTGTCCAGTGGACGTGTCCAGTGGAGCAGTCAGTTGTCCAGTCAACGTGTCCAGTGGAGTGGTCAGTTGTCCAGTCAACTTGTCACCAAGCCGCCTGTATCTCGTCTCAGGAAGTCCCAGAGCCAGGCTGGCGCAGAGAGCGGTGCAGACGGCGATCACTATGTAGGCCACGTACACAGACCCCGCCGTGCCCTGGATGAGAAAGGGAGACACGATACCTCCCACACGGCCCCCTGTGTACACCACGCCCAGACCCAAGGTCCGGATGTAGGTCGGGAACAGCTCAACCATGAAGGCGATCATGGTGCTCCAGGCCAGCTCCACGGTGGTCACGATGACCAGGGATGTTATGGTCTCTCCCATGCCCAAGCTCTCAAGCCCCACGATAAAGTGGAGGAGAAATAAAGCTGTGGAAATGACACACGCTGAGCAGAAATACGCCGATATCGATTTGCGCCGACCGAATCTGTTACTGAAGAGGGGAACGAAAGGGAAAGCAGGGAATGAGAACACCGAAAACAAGATGAAATTGACGTAAAAGTTGCCAAATAAAGCCTTAATTCCGAAACCGATGGAATAATAGATAAGCGATAAAGTAAAAAACAGGATAAACCCAAACACAGTTTTCTTGACGAACCGTCTTCCAAACAAATCTCTAATCCTGGGTCCGTCTGTCTTTTCTCCCACTTCTACTTCTGCGTGCGTAATATACTCCAGCGGCTCTAACGGCGGGGGTCGTCTGTTGTATTTACAAATCTTGCGACCCACCGCATTTGCTTGAACGGTTTTGTTTTGGACTGCCAACCACCTCATGCTTTCCGGCATCCAGAAGATTGTCAAAAACCCCAGAAGACAAAGAAGAGCCGTGGCCAAATGAAGATATCGCCAGTCTTTTGTGAGGAACATCAGAACTCCGAGGACAACATTCGCCGTAGACGAAGCGGGAAACCCCCCCACAAACGCCCGCCACTTGACGGTGACAAACTCCATGGGGTACACGTGACAGAGAGATAAAATTCCCCCCGCGCTGAGGCCGATGAAGAATCGAATGGCTCCGAACATGACGACAGACGTGGAAAAGACGGAGATGAAATTGGCCACACCGCACAAAGCGACCCAAGAGTACAGCACGATCTTCCTCCCGAATCTGTTGCTGAGGTAACCAGTCAGGAGAGCCCCAGCCGCCAGGCCGACCATCTGCACGGAAATGACGACAGAGACGTACCAGGACTTGTCACAGACGAGGCCCCACTCAGAGATGAGGGTTGATGCTTCCGGGTTGAAGGTCATGTTCCGGCAGGATTCTGCTACGTCACAAACGTCTCTGTCGTCATCATCGTCTGCTGCTGCTGCACGTGCTGTGACGTCAGTTGAGGCGGAAGTGACGTTGTTCCAGAGGTGAGGGCGAATGTAGACTGTCTCGTTTTGCGCTGGATCTGTGGTGGCATTCCTGTACGTTTGAAGATCTATAGTAAAAAAGATTGAGTAAGTGTTTTACGGCACTGTCGACTCAATGTTGGTCATTTAAGTGCCAATAGGTTTCACCGCAACAAATCTAGGAATAGTCATGTTTTAGTCAGAGTTTTTCGGCACTCGCAACTGCACACGGTCATATTATCATCTTCATAAAAAGGAAGTGTTATACTCAAAGCTGCCATACAAGGAAAGAGAAAACGAGGAAGGCAGAGAAGAAGATGGGAGGACAACATCACAGAGTGGACAGGAGGGACGACGATGGGTGACAATCTGTGGAAAGCAGAGGACAGAGAGAAATGGCGAGAGCTGGTTGTCA